ACCTCATCCTAGCAGGATTGTTCCCTCAGTCAAGCAGTAATGGTGGATTCCAGCTGATCAAAGCAGTGCACAAAGGGAAATGGGTGTAAAGAACCTCAAAAATCTCATCCTAGCAGGATGGTTCCCTAAATCAAAAACTAATGATGGATTCCAGCTCAGTGCATAAAGCTAAATAAATGTAAGGAGCCCCAAAAACCTTATCCTAGAGGAAGATCTCCTAAATCAAACACTAATGATGGATTCCAGCTGATCAAAGCAGTGCACAAAGGGAAATCGGTATAAAGAACCCCAAAAATCTCATCCTAGAGGACTGAGCCCCAAAAATCTCATCCTAGCAGGATGATTCTCTAAATCCAGTGGTAAGGATGGATTCCAGCTCATCAAATCGATGCAGAGAAGGGATCTGGTTCCAGAACAGAAGGAAACAGGGTCACAGGATCTACTGGAAGGTGGCAGTGAGCAGGGCAGGCCCTCCTTGCTAGAAAAATGATTTTGTCCATTTGTTCAACACCAAAAAGTGCCATATTTTGATCCCAGAGAGGTAAAAATTAACCTCATATATCCCAACCTGTAATTTACCCATGGAATCTGTTGGGATGTTCTGTAGTCCCCAAGACCTGGGTTTAAAAACCTCCTGCCCTGCAAAGTGTTCCAGAGTAAGGCAAAACACCAAAAAAGCTCCAACTCCCTTCAGATACAGCTGCTGCTCTTTCTATGGCAAGTACAGGTAAAAGGGGCTTTTTTTGGAACACAAAGCTGCGTTAATGTAAACAGGATTAAGCTTAGCTCCACCATAATCCTAAATAATGTGTGTTCTGTGGAGCACACCCCACAGCAGGCTGCTTTTCCTGTGAAAAATTCTGGGTTCAGAAGAAATGTTGGTGAGAAGCTGAGTAGTGAAGGATTTTGGGCTCTCCAGCTTTGAAAGTTGCCCTTGGGGTTTCTGCTGAGCAGCTCGGGGGCTTTGTCCCTTCATCCTATGTGCATTTCGCAGCACTTGGCCTTTTTTAGGTCACTTAACTTTTATTTCTGATAAATTTCCTTGGGAGGCTCAGTCCCGTGCTGCCCTCAGCTGCCAGCACTGACAGCTCCCTCTCTGGATTTCTGAGTTCTGCAGCAATCCAGGGCTCTTGCTGAAGTCCCTCAGCCTGCCAGGATTTTGGGTACAAACTTCGGAAATGCTCTTCAGTCCAACTGTCTGAGCGTCTGCAGGAAAATCTGATGTTGAATGGAAAAAACCCAAACCCAACCAAGTGAGTCTGTAAATGAGGTGTAAGTCTGCAGAATTACAGCAGCCATGGCAGTGAAACGACTCTGTCCTGGTGCCATCCCAATTCCATTGCCTCAGAAGCCTCCTTTTAATGCTCATTGTTTAAAATGTAACTGCTCTGGGATTTAGGGATGGCTTTTTTTTGTTTTTTTTACTAATAATAACAGTGACAACCTCCTCCTTCTTTTAAGAGACTAAAATCTTGCCAAAAATTCTTTTTTTGTGAATGTGCAAGGAATGTTCTGAGAGGAGGAACAGAAAACAAACTGCTTGGTGAAAGGGATTTTCCTCTAAATGAGGCAGAAGTGGAAGAGCCACAGAGACTCCTCCAAAAAGTGCAGATTTTCTGCAAGCTGGGAGGAGCTGTGTCCTTGGGGAATCAGTGCCAGTCCCTAAAATGATTAGAAAAATACAAAATAAAGACTTGTGGGGTGTAGGAGTGACG